TATATATTTATCATAATCCACTTTTGGGGGGACATGCAAGGAGAATCATGCTTTAACATGGATATGTCCCAGACAAGCTGCTTTCTGGACACTTGAACACTTTCTTTAGGCAAGAATGTTCACTATTGGACAGGATGGGCAAGTACAGTATGAACAATCACTTGATGGAAGTGGTTATATTTATCATTCCTCTTAATTGTTGGTTATGGAAAGCCTCTTTTATGTATCTGCAGCTGCTTGGAAAGTGAGATGAGCAAAGTAGTCATAAGATTGACATTTCATCCTGCAGGATGAACTCTGGTGGTAGGATATGTAATAAGCAGACTGTGCTGAATGGGTATTTATATTCATCTACTGTGAGTACTGAATTGGCAGATTGTTTTACTTTGAGTTCAGGTATCAGTTCCCCATAAATTGGTATAGACACTCATGTACCCTCTTGTATACTCCATAGTAGTTTGCACAACAAGGTCTGATAAAGACCTAGTGGCTGAATTTACACAACAAACTGCGCTTAGTTTTAGCTCTGGTTAGGATCTGTTTGTTTCTGGTTTATGCAAATTCAGCCCGTTTGGCTAGTTTATGGCTCATGTATTGTGCCAACCCCCAAAATGGGTTGATTTCAGCAAGCAGGTTGAGCATGCTGTATGCAATCCTAGCCCAGGTATCCAGAAATAGCCAATTGTCGTTCAAAGCTCACATGGATTGGCCATCTCAGGGCAGTGCTGGTAGAACAATCTTACTGCACATATCAATATAATCCACAGTTCCTCTGCACCACATTTCTTCCAGTTTGCATTTCCCCATTCTCCAGCCATCCTGAGTTCTCGTTGGCGATGTCTAGTTTCCAGATGTTCCTCAGATATTTTCTCTTAGCACTTTTTTTTCGGTGCCTTTGAGTCAGTCTGACTCCTGGCGACTGCCTGGACAAGTCCCTGCAGTTTGCTTGGCAAATTTTTTGGAAATGGTTTGCCGTTGCCTCCTTCCTCGGGCGGAGAGAGAAGGACTGGCCCAAAGTCACCCAGCTGGCTTTGTGCCCAAGGCAGAACTAGAACTCGCAATCTCCTGGCTTCTAGCCTGGTGCCTTCGCCACTACACCAAACTGGCTCTCTTCTTTTTAGCATAATGGGGTTATGATCAGCTCTTCATAATCTGGCACTGTTGTATGGCTTGCAGCTTCCTAACAAGATATACCACCGTTCTTATTTTTTTTTCTAGCAGTCGATGCAAAGCAGCTTCATGGCTGTCATTGTAACTTTCCACAATGCCCTGAATGTATTGTCACCCCAGGGCATTGTGGGAAATTAAAGTGGCCTAGGGTCAACCAATGAAGTGCCAGTGCTAGAATGTCTGCCAAGGAGAGCCCTGAGGGAGGAGGGAGATCATCAGAGGGTGTTTGATGGGGGATGCTTAGTTTAGACCAACGTTTTTCAACCTTGGCAGCTTTCAGACTTTCGTTTTCACTTCCATCCGCCTCCCCAACGCCCGCACCCCCCGCCGGGAGAG